CAGAGTGCCATGATCATGAGGTGTGCCAGGGTCCCATGATCATGGGGTGTGCGAGGATGCCATGATCATGGGGTGTGCCAGGGTGTCATGATCATGGGGTGTGTCAAAGTGCCATGATCATGGGGTGTGCCAGGGTGCCATGATTACTGGGTGTGCCAGGGTGCCACGATCATGGCGTGTGCCAGGGTGCCATGATCATGGGGTATGCCAGGGTGACATGATCATGGGGTGTGCCAGGTTGCCATGATCATGGGGTGTGCCAGGGTGCCATGATCATGGGGTGTACCAGAGTGCCATGATCATGGGGTGTGCCAAGGTGCCATGATCATAGGGTGTGCCAGGGTCCCATGAACATGGGGTGGTGTGCCAGGATACCATCATGGGAAGTGCCAGGATGCCATGATCATGGGGTGTGCCAGGGTACTATGATCATGGGGTGTGCCAGGGTGCCATACCATGATAATGGGGTGTGCCATTGTGCCATGATAATGGGGTGTGCCATTGTGCCATGATCATGGGGTGTGCCAGGGTGCGATGATCATGGGGTGTGCCAGGGTACCATGATCATGGGGTGTGACAGTGCCATGATCATGTGGTATGCCAGGATGCCACGATCATGAGGTGTGCCAGGGTCCCATGATCATAGGGTGTCAGGATGCCATGATCATGGGGTGTGCCAGGGTGCCATGATTATCGGGTGTGCCAGAGTGCCATCATGGGATGTGCCATGGTGCCATGATTATTGGGTGTGCCAGGGTGCCACGATCATGGGGTGTGCCAGGGTGCTATGATCATGGGTTGTGCCATGATCATGGGGTATGCCAGGGTGCCATGATCATGGGGTGTGCCAGGTTGCCATGATCATGGGGTGTGCCAGGGTGCCATGGTCATGGGATGTGCCAGAGTGCCATGATCATGGGGTGTGCCAAGGTGCCATGATCATGGGGTATGCCGGGGTGCCATGATCATGGGGTGATGTGCCAGGTTACCATGATCATGGGATGTGCCAGGGTGCGATGATTATGGGGTGTGCCAGGATACCATGATCATGCAGTGTGCCAGGGTGCCATGATCATGGGGTGTGCCAGGGTGCCATGATCATGGATTGCCAGGGTGCCATGGTCATGAGATGTGCCAGAGTGCCATGATCATGGGGTGTGCCAAGGTGCCATGATCATGGGGTATGCCAGGGTGCCATGATCATGGGGTGATGTGCCAGGTTACCATGATCATGGGATGTGCCAGGGTGCCATGATTATGGGGTGTGCCAGGATACCATGATCATGCAGTGTGCCAGGGTGCCATGATCATGGGGTGTGCCAGGGTGCCATGATCATGGAGTGTGCCAGGATGCCATGATCATGGGGTGTGCCAGGATGCCATGATCATTTGGTGTGCCAGGGTGCCATGATCATTGGGTGTGCCAGGGTGCCATGATCATGGGGTGTGCCAGTGCCATGATCATGAGGTGTGCCAGAGTGCCATGGTCATGGACTATGCCAGGGTGCCATGATCATGGGGTGTGCCAGGGTGCCATGATCATGGGGTGTGCCAGAGTGCCATGATCATGAGGTGTGCCAGAGTGCCATGGTCATGGACTATGCCAGGGTGCCATGATCATGGGGTGTGCCAGGGTGCCATGATCATGGGGTGTGCCAGAGTGCCATGATCATGAGGTGTGCCAGGGTGCCATGGTCATGGACTATGCCAGGGTGCCATGATCATGGGGTGTGCCAGAGTGCCATGATCATGGGGTGGTGTGCCAGGTTACCATGATCATGGGGTGTGCCAGGGTGTGGAGAGGCCAGTCATGGTAATAAGTCACATTCTCTAACTTGACTAGGTCATCCCAGTTAAAATCTACATAAGATACACAAGAGCACCAACACAGTCTCTCTGCCCACACCACCACTGTAAATATATATCATGTATGTTAAGCATTGCTTTCCTTAAATACAAACTTACAAGTTTGGTGACCAAACTGAAAATAACTCTTTGTGTTATATTTTACATTATGGTTGTGGGGAGGGGGTGGAACGCTAGACCCGTTGGGGTCATGCAGCCCCTAGTGGAAGGCATTAAGGCTTCATTTATGGATTTGGGTCACAGGTCCAATTCCTTAAGTCAATAGCCCCTCATCCCTTGAGGGAATGATTTTATCTGATTATCATTATTATTATTATTATTATTATTATTATTATTATTATTATTATTATTATTATTATTATCCTATGAAGGCGTTAACCCCAGGAATGGATAATGGGAGGTAATGAAGCTTGATCATGGAAACAAAGAGGAGAACTACTATTCCTTGGATTTCACCAGCATCAAGGACCCTGCTTTGAACTCTTTACTAGCATCGAAGAAGCTGCTCTGAACACTTTACTAGCATCAAGGAACCTACTTTGAACTTTTTACCAGCATCAAGGAACCTATTTTGAGCTCTTTACTAGCATCAAGGAACCTACATTGAATCCTTCACCAGCATCAAGGAACCAGATTTGAGCTCTTTACTAGCATCAAGGAACCTACTTTGAACTCTTTACCACCATCAAGGAACCCACTTTGAAAGGATGATAGTATATAATGGGTACAGGCTTATTCTGATGGGGACAGGAGGCTCTTCGTTGGCTTGTCGAGGTTTCTTAAACTACATGAACAAGGCTGTCAGTCAAGTCACCCATCCAACTATTCGCCATACCCAGTAGTGCTTTACCTGAGCTAGTGACACGTATACATTATCCTCCATGACAATGCAGAAATCCTTAGGGTTTTTATTTCCTTGGAGGTCATTCCCTAGATTGACATCCATCAGAGTGGACTAAGACTTGAATGCCCAGTTATTGCTAGATGAACAGGAGCAGCAGGTGAATGGAAATTTAACCATAAGATTCCTCCCTCCCTGGGATTGAACCTGGGATCATTTAGTTGTGAACTGACCATTCTGTAAGTGATTTACTGAAGGAAAACAAGGAAAAATATTATTATTATTATTGCTGAACATAGTCTGTCTCCCACCAAGGTATGGTGACCCCAAAATAGGAAATACTCTCACCATCACTCACTCCATCACTGTCTTGCCAGAGATGCACTAATACTACAATTTAGCTGCAACTCCAAACTGCAATATTCCCACCCCTCCTTCAGAATGCAGGCACTGTACTTCCCACCTCCAGGACTCAAGTCCAGCTAACCAGTTTATTATTATTATTATTGTATTTATGGGGGGGCACTAAACCTGCAGGTGTGGGAACTTTGATTATCAAAAGTAAGTAATGACAGCAATAGTTACTTACCTTAGTGTATTGTCAGGGTTCTGGTAGTGGCAGCAAAGAAGCCACCTCTGGCGAAGATGGTGTATTGTCACCTTGGCTGTATCGAAGACAAGAATTATGGGGTTAGTGATATATCCTAACATGTATTATGTGATATCAATGCCCTACACATTTATTTCACATACGAGAGATTGTGTTACTGCACTTGCTGGGCAATCACCCATATATATCGCATGGGCCAAGGAGGCACAAGTCTAAATGTCTGTAACATACCCTAAACAAATTACTGCATTATCTTAGAGGACAGGTACAAGAAATTTAGACTTACCTTGGCTATGAACTGTTTGATATTACCATGTATCTGGTATATGAAATCTGAGAATGAAGGCCTGATAGAAGATACGTCGTCTATTCCACACGAATGATGCACAGGACATCTCACTAACATTCATTATTTAGGCATGTTTAAGCACTGTCTCTGGAGGCACTAAGCACTAAAATTCAGCATCTTAATAACTACGCTCGCAGATTATTTATACACTTGTAGACTCCTGCCTATGTCAGTGGAGTACTGTAAAGTACACTCATAGACTTTATTCAATTATTCAAATGTCACCAGACTTACTGATGTTCAGACCATCACTTTTCATGGTGTATTAGTAATATATCACAACAGAGTTCACTGGCAAATGCCTTCATATGGCTGGTCTTATGCAATTTAGTGTGTTAAGATGGCGTACACCTGAACCCCGATACTCTTATCTTGGACTGACTCTCCTTTGTTCATAGTAATTTGACTACTATCAATGCTTAATTTATTTCTATAGTTAGTTAGTGCACTGTGATAAGTTAGTTTCAAACTGAAGATAATACTGGTGAATACCTCTCCAAAGGCTATTACCATGCAAATTAATGTTTTAACATTGCAGACCCTGACTCAGTACTCTCTATCAACTGACTCCTGTCAGTTGAAAAGAGTAAAAGCACTGACATAAGGGCATATTGCAATAGTGCCAACCTAACTATGTACCCATGTCAGTAATATCAAAGTTCCTCTTGATTAGAAAGTATCCTTAACTTCTGATTAGGCTAAGGACTCAAAGTGTTTATCTTACCTATGTCTCTTAACTACAAGTTTCTCTCAGTAAGCATGGCTAGTGTGTTGTCCTGGCCTTGGTTGGTGGGATATGAGGGCACATTAAGTTGTCCTTACAAGGAGAGGTAAGAGGTATGTATAGCTCACCCCACTGTACTACAGGGTGCATCTTCCCTTGATTACCTCCCCAGGTAATATCAGAGGCTAATTCCTCCACAGTAATGAGTTTTCCCAGATGCATCTTAAAGTTTAACAATATACTCTTCTCACTTTGATGGCTTCAAAAGGTTTATCATTATTATGTTTACAAGAAAGCACTAAACCCACATGGGTTATATAGCCAACACTGGTAGCATTTCCTGTTTTGCTCTATGACTTGGGATGCTTAACCCGTAAAATGTCCAAACGTATATATACGTTTTTTCAACATTTGAAAGTATGTAAACAAAGTAGATTTTTTTTTTTTTACATTTGAAAATGTGTAAAAAACTCTGATCTACTTTTTTTTTGTTATATTTGAAAACATGTAAAAAAAAACATAGATCTACTTTTGGAGCACTACACATGTGAACGTGGATCTGCTTGGACAGTTTAAGGGTTAATAGAGAGATTTCAAAAAAGTGTAATAATTTGGAGGAGTAATATTAACTTTATTATAAAAAATTCCTAATCATTTATAATAAAACCTTATTATCCACTTCACCTAAATTCACTTGTTTCCGCCTTTTGCTGAAGACACACACAAGACATGCCTTTCTTAAACTGATCCTTATATTATCAGCGAGATGGTAAAAAGTTAGCACATTCCCCTTCCATAAAAAGGCACAAAATGAGCAAATATTGATGAAGTGGATAAGGCTGCTTAACTATAAATGTACACACACATATACATCTTGCTAAACGTCCACTTAAGGTGCCTTCTCCTGTAGTTCTACCTATCCTCAAGAATGTCACATAAATTATCAGTTTCTGTGTAGGTTCAACTTTGTTTGGAGACAATGTAGAATAACTGCAGTTGCAACAGAAACATTAAGACAGTGGACATCGTTGCCCACCTCTCTTCCCGGCTTAACTGTGAGAACTGTTGTGCACTTGTTTTGTAAGTCATCAGCGACACCTGTTCCTTCATTTCCTGTGTCAAGGATGAATTTACATGAGAAAACATGATTATTATATATATTTACCATATTCTGTAGCATATAAGATGCATATTTTTCAAAATCTGATAATGAAAACCACCCAGTGTCCTTACACAGTTGGGTCAAGCTTAGGATCTATGAACAATTCCATTTAACAAAAAGAAAAATTTTTTTAATAAAAAAATTGAAAAAAATAATAAATAAACAAGAAATATTCATTATATTTATGGTACGTCCTATATGCCAGTGTGTGTTATATGCAGCAAAATATGGTAGTTAACAGTACAGTTGTACAAAATATCTTACTCTTGGGATTTAATGAATAACAATAAAAAATTTATGAGAAATTCTAATTTTGAATTATTAGTCTGTTGATTGGAAGGTATAAACAAGTAGTCTGTTGATTGGAAGGTATAAACAAGTAGTCTGTTGATTGGAAGGTATAAACAAGTAGTCTGTTGATTGGAAGGTATAAACAAGTAGTCTGTTGATTGGAAGGTATAAACAAGTAAAATACTACAACCTTTCCACATTTTTTCTTCTTTACAGAGCAACACTGCAAGCAGTTTGACAAGAGATGTAAATTTTGAAGAAAAGAAAAAGGAAAGAGAGGGAGACCAAAGCTTAATTTATGAATATGAAAGACTGCCTGATTATACTCCACTTATTATTACTTATTACAGTGTTCAACACCTACTCCAAGGTTGATTATCTCTTCTACAGGTTTCCCTTTATGTCTCTGCACTGCAGTGATAAAGCCACTGGAGGACAAAATGTCTACTAATATAAAGATACCCAGATGTTGCACATGTGTCCAATTCATCACCTTGTTGGTATTGTATAACACTGATATATTACACCCTGATAACACGAAACACTGGAGACAGAAGTACACAACGAGACGGAAGAGAACTACCACCCTCAAAATAAAAGTAATTCAGCATTGGTTCTCCTGCCTGACAAGTTCCCCATCATCTGTCACCCTTCATAACTCAGAATGTTAAATGTTATTATGAGGTAAACATATATCTTCCCTTTTTCCCCGTGAATCAGTACTGCATTAATGTATAAACAATACAAGAATGTAGTAACTAAACTACACCCTTTTACTTCACCATGGTACAATTATGATACCATATGTGAAAGGCTATCTGCTCAACAACACTACCTATATTACTTCAGTACCTGCTTATAAAATTAATACCGTATATAGTATATAGTGTATTTATCATTTTTATACAATTTCATATATATCACAATTTCTTTAAAGTTAAATATAAAAAAATCTATATTTACCTATTACCAACAAAATGTTCCCTTGAGGCTTAAAGTCACTGGCAGATGTTGCTGAAGTATTTCCATTTGAAGCTGAGGATACCAAATGCCATCCTGCATCAGCCAGCAAGTTGAAGAGTTCTATGGGGTCATCAACCTGATACACGGGTAGTATCTCTGCTACTCCAGCACTGGCTTTACTCACTACACCAGAAATTCGACAGCTGCAGAGAAATCAGAGAATTAATGGAAAGGAAATTTAATTAAAATACCAGAGAGCAGAAAAAAAAGTCAATGGCCTGCACATTACAATCATAACTAAGCACTAGACCCATAAAGGTCATACAGTGGCCTGCACTTAATATGAGCAATAATTTAATTACAGTATTAGTTATTCTTATTCAATTCATGGGAACACATTAAAGCCACACTGGTCATACAGAGCCAGGGGAATGAAAGACCAACAGGTTTGATCTAAAGAAATAATATATTTTAATCAAATATCCCATTTAGCAGAAAATAGTCTCACCTGTCTTCTTTAGTAGTCAATACTTTATCCACTCCCAAAAAGTATGCCGACCTCAAAACGGCTCCAAAATTCATAGGGTCCTGAATGCGATCTAGGTACAGCCATAATTGGAATGGTTTCTCTATGCTTTTGGCAGATGTCAATTCTGACTCATCTTCCACTAAATTTTTTTCTTCTATGATATTCCTGTTCACACTTTTATCTTGTTTTATAATCTGACTCAGCATTTCATTTTGCAGTTCTTCATATGAAAGACAACTTGCATCACAACATATACCTTGGTGCACTTGATCTCCTTTGAAAATAGACCTAAACTGTGCACTATTTAAACCCAGCAGTTTTATATTACGTTTCTGTCCAATCTCTAAAATTTCTTGAATTTTTTCATTTTTCACTTCAGATCCTTCTTTGTAAAGTATACAATGTAGTGTTCGTCTCTCAGCTCTAAGAGCTAAAAGAACTGGGTATACTCCATAAATAATTTCACCTAATAGGTTAATGCTAAATTTGGCATTATTTTTACTAACTCTTTCCAGTTTATGGACATCATTATTATAGGTAGCTTGCATTGCTTGATAAGGGTTTGGACGTCTGTCTGTGTAATCCTTTTTTAATTCTTCCGACATGTGCTTTTTTCTGTGATTCATGTGTTTACGTGTGTTATCATGTGAACGACCTTTCCACCTTTTATCATTATATATGCTGTCACTCTGCATATTTGAATAATTTCCTTGTTTAGTAACAGGAGATGTGATTCTTGGTAATTCATCTACATTGTTACCCACAGGGTCTGGCATTTGTGTATTAGTATAACGGAACTTGACTGTAGGAATAGAGAATGCTTTGTGGCTGCCATATCTCATAAATATCCTAGACAGCATCTCTGTAAACAGAAACATATGGGTGAGCTTTACTATCATCATGAAACAATGTGGAAATTTTATATACAGAATTACAAGGTGTGGAGTATTTATAAATAATAATTAATACTCTGCACCTTGACTCAGGTGTCACTTTAAATTAGCCACTAAGTGCAAAGTCTTAATGAATGCATGCTAATAAAGGATTAAAGCATGAGCATAATATAAAAATTAGTCTATATTAAGAATAATCCAGATTTAGTGGAATTTTTATTATTTTTTTTATTAACACATTGGCCGATTCCCACCAAGGCAGGGTGGCCCGAAAAAGAAAAACTTTCATCATCATTCACTCCATCACTGTCTTGCCAGAGGGTTGCTTTACACTACAGTTTATAAAACTGCAACATTAACACCCCTCCTTCAGAGTGCAGAGTGGAATTTACATGCAAATATTAAACATCTCCTTGGACCATTGTTGAGTGACAAAAACTGTTCTGACCTGACAAATTTTTGGTCTGTCCTGGATTACTGCTATCACAAAAATGTTATTACTTGACAATGATCCAGGACAAATTATAGCATTGTCATAAGGTTCCTTTTCCTAAGTGTGAATTTTTGGTGAATGCCTACTCATTCAGGGATTGAACCTCAGCTCTTCAGTTGTGAGCCAAAACCACTAGAAATGAAGTGAACTGAGCCTACTCTACTAGTTATATGTACACTACTGTAAAGCCATTATATATGGAGGGACTCGGGAAGAGTGGCAGAGCATTTGGTCTACAACCGAGAGTATCAAGGTTCAACTCCCAGGTGGGACATGGCATGTGGGCAAGTCTCCTAATACCTGATGTCCCTATTTACTTCGTAGTGAATAAGTACCCTGGCACTAGTTCATTGTTGCTTTTTAAGGGCCACAAAATGTCTACATGTCAGGTGTCTAGATGCTTAATTAGTGGTTAGATAATGCCCAACATGCTCATGATGTGGAGAAACAAACGAACAAATTGTTCAGAGCCAGAATCCATACATAGCTTTAAGAAGAGGTACAATAAAGCTCATGGAGCAGAGAGAGTGGACCTAGTAGCGACCAGCGAAGAGGTGGGGCCAGGAGCTGTGACTCGACCCCTGCAACCACAAATAGGTGAGTACCTCTTGTGGGTCTTTTCCAATAAATTATCATGGGAGCACTAAACCCATAGGGATTATACAGTGCCTGTGAGGGAGGATGGAAGGCATTCAGGGAAGTGGAGCACAGATCCAATCCCCTTGATCAAGAGCCTCACCAGCATCAAAGAACCTCCCTTGAGATGTCTTCCAATAAAGAATTATTGTTTTAAAAGCCGAGAACAACTCAGTAGAAAAATAAATACTACGTCTGGGTGTGTAGTTATTGTTGGTTTTAAGAGTTGACACGTCGGCTTTAAGAGCTAAATAAACGGTATAAATGGTATAAAATACCGACACAATGGAAATATAAATACATATGCAGTATAATGTGATCCTTTATTGACAACGTTTCGCCCACACAGTGGGCTTTTTCAAGTCACAAACAGATCTGTCTGTGACTTGAAAAAGCCCACTCTGTGGGCGAAACGTTGTCAATAAAGGATCACATTATACTGCATATGTGTTTATATTTCCAAACACTACCTCTCCTGGCTCAGCTGGCAGCCGTCTCAGCTGACACACTAAGGGACTGAGGTTTGATCTCCGGCACGAATTTTAACGTTGGATATACTTCCTTATAAATCCTGCCTCTGGTCACCTAGCAGAATTGGTCACTTTGTCTGACTTTTTTGGGTTATCCTGGGTAATTTACACATGTATGATAATTGTACTTATATGTACCTGTGCTTAAATAAACTTATTTACTTACTTACCTGGTTGTCAATAGACCGGTGAGGATCGTATCCTGAGGATCTCACTGGAAATAAAATAGATAATCTTTCTTTCTTTGTTGGGTTTCTAAGGGCAACTGACAGCAAAATATATAGGTGTTGTTGCTGTTGTTGGGTTTGTAGGGCCACTGACAGCTTACGTCGTATCGAGTCCTGCTTCCCGGGGTACGGAGAAGATATATTGCCCAAAGCCGGGAGATGAAAGAAAAGAGAACAAGTGTCCCTTTGTAAACTGAACCAGAAACAAAAGTTCCCGATTATACCAGGTGGACCCTCTTTGTGCGGCTTTGCGCACATTCGGGGCAGTCTTTGACCGTACTTCTTCTCAGTGGATATGGGCTTGACCCCCCCAGACCGTCAGAAGATCCTAGCCTATACCTGCGCCTTCATGCTGGCCTTAGGGCGCACTGGGAACATATGATACGAACAGCCATTAGTCAACTTCCTTCCATTGTGGTCGAGGTTTTTTCAGGACACTGGAAGGCAGGGTTTGATACGGCGCAAGCTGTCAGTGGCCCTATAAACCTAACAACAACAGCGTGGGGCACCCACATTTATGTTTGCCCGAAATGCTCAACATAACCATGAACTTTCTGTAGCACGACCAAATATCACCCATCTCTATACAAACATTGTATCATGTGGAAATATATCTTTGACTTTAACTTAGACCCCTCACCTAAGAGTAGCAGCCGGCTTCCCACTAAAACCGTTAAATAAATATCTGCAGAGGGGAAAATATAGCTGACTATAATTAAGCCGTTTAGGTAATATTATTCAGGTACAGGTACATATAAATACAGTTACATAAATTGTCATACATAGCAGCACATGTGTAGGTTATCCAGGATAACCCAAAAAGTCAGACAAAGTAACTTACTTTCCTTATTAGGGTTATAAGAGGCACTGAAAGCTAATGTCGTATCGAGGCCTGATTCCATGTGTACGAAGAAGAGATATTTCTCAAGGGTGGGCGATGAAAGAAAATGGAACACGAGCTCCTTTGTAAATAGAAACAAGTCAAGCCCAGCAGAGCAGGACGTCCGCATCCTCTTCTGAGTTCAGGAACCGGCTTCACATCAAAACCGTTAAATATCTGCAGAGCGAAAAAATGAAGCGGGTCAAAACTGAGCCACTGAAAGATGCCCCTCCTGTATCGTGCCCGGCGGGCAAGGAAATGAGCGTAGAACCTCCCACATACTTTTTAGGTTTAGAAAGGTTTGCCAGGACAGGGGGCTGGCCCGGGTCCACATATCCTGATACCAGAAATTTTTCTTGTTGTTAGGTTGATAAGGGCCACCAACACGTACACTCTATAGTTTTTCTATTGTAACACTGGGACGTGTTGTTACTGTTGTTTTTAAGAGTTTACACAACTTAAGAAGCAATATAATCACTACTTATGGAGTTATTATTAAGTATAACCATTGAGTTCTGTCAGCGGGCGATGCTGCGACCTCTGGAGAAGACTGACCAACATGAGCCGGTTGTTATTGGCTTTATGGTTGTTGTTATTGTTGATATTAATACTACTATTACTGCTACCACCACTCCTACTATTACCACTACTACTGCTACTACTACTTTTACCACTACCACCACTACTACCACTACTACTATTACTACTACTACTACTACTACTACTACTACTACTACTACTACTACTACTACTTCATGAGCATAAGTCAATCACACAAAACTTGGACGTATATGCTAGACATGCTGTGTGTACATAGATATGTATGTTTCTCAGCGTACCCACCTATATGTGTGGTTGTTGAGGTTGAGTCTTGGAGTGTATACACTGGAAAGGTTTGTATATCTCAGCTTATATACACAGAGGCACGCATTTCTCAGTGTATATAAATTAAGAGGAAATAAATCACCTTGTCTGGCTTTTCTCAGGTTATCCTAAGTAACTTACACATTATGTAGGACAGTTGTGTAATTGTACTTGCATAATTTTACCTACATAAACTTACAGTTCATATACACAGAGGTGTGTATTTCCTCAGTGTGTATATACACTGAGAGGTTAGTATTTCTCAGCTGAGTATATACACCGAGTTTGCTCTCCTTAACTAAGAGACTTTACATGTGAGAGATGTAATGCCATCCAATTTTGTACAAATGACATGTCATGTGGAAATAAACTGATTAATTGATTAATTGATTGGCAGGTATTAGAGTATTTTTGACTAGTAGTGCATAGGTGACATACAGTCTTAATGACCCTTGTGTAGTAATTAAACTTTAAACCTCATTAAGCAACCTACCAGCCTTGATGATCCACTGGATTTTAGGGCTACGACGGCTTGTACCGTATGAGCCGTGTTCCTAGAAGTCTGAAGTCTGGTGATGACACGTTTACTTAGCTCTTAGGTACTACCCAACCCGCCCGTGTCCTAGAGAAAGGAATGCGAAGAAAAGACTACATCTTTATTGGATACGTTTCGGTCCTTGGACCTTGCTCACCCCAAATGAGGTCCAATGACTAAAATATGCAAGAAAAAATATGAACGCGAATATGTGGGTGGAAAACAAAACCGTTGAAAAGGACTGGAACTCGAGGATATAGAATATCTTTTATTGTGTTAAGTCCTGGTTGAGTCTGGCACGGGCACAATAGAACCTTGGATAGCAGAATAAAAAGTGTTGAGCAGGATCATTCTGTATAGGGCACCAAGAGCCGCTTGGGCTGTCCACCAGGAGTAGCCGGAAAGGATGTGCTTCCTGCCAAGTATATGCAATACAGTGACAACATTACAACATCAAGGAGACAATCTTCAGCAAGAAAATAGGGACAGTGTTCATCACAGTCACGACTGATTCACTGCTGAGTGGATTTGATGGCTGGTGCTGAGTCTAACAGCCAGAGATGAGTGAATCTACACTGCCACCATCACTGTGGTGGTGGTGATGGTAGTAAAGGGACTGATGACAGTGGTGGGGGGACTGATGTTGGTAGTTGTGGAGGGACTGATGATATCGTGGTGAAGGACCTGATGGTAATGGAGAGACTGATGGTGGTGATGGAGGGACTGATGATGGTAGTGATGGGGGCTTGATGGTGGTAGTGAAGGGGGCCTGATGGTGGTAGTGATGGGGGCCTGATGGTGGTGGTGGAGGGACTGATGGTGGTGGTGGAGGGCCTGATGGTGGTGGAGGGACTGATGGTGAAAGGGACTGATGGTGGTAGTGATGGGGGCTTGATGGTGGTAGTGATAGGGGGAACCTGATGAAGGTAGTGATGGGAGGCCTGATGGTGGTGGTTGTGGTGGAGGGACTGGTGGAGGGACTGGTGGTGGTGGAGGGACTGGTGGTGGTGGTGGTGGTGGGACTGGTGGTGGTGGTGGTGGAGGGACTGGTGGTGGTGGTGGTGGTGGTGGAAGGACTGGTGGTGGTGGTGGTGGTGGTGCTCTATGTTGGCAGCAGTGGTAAGGAAGAGAGGGTTGAGAGAGCACCCTCACTCTTGAGCCACGTGTGTCCCTGACTACACAAACGAGTAGTTAAGCGGTGGTGTTAGTGACCTGTTGAGGTGGCGCAAGACTCACACTGGCTATTCTCCTCAAGTGATCATCAGCACAGGTGCCCACACTAGCTCTCCAGTCTCTCTCAGATCACCACTGACATTCAACTGGTCAGGTCAACAACACAGGTAAGAATATCACATCTCATGTACAACCAGCATCCCCAGGTAGGGCGAGACGTATGGGCAAGTCTCCATCTGATGTCCCTCTTCACCTAGCAGTAAGGAGGTACCTGAACGTTAGTGGAACAACCCCCCAAGTAACGATAAGAATACAATGTAATTGTCTTGCATTATCCTAGGTTAATATCATCATCATTATCATGATTATAAACACAAAAGTAATAAATCTTAAGGATCACACAGTGCCTGGGGATGGAAGGTAATCAGGCTTAATCATAGGAAGGGAAAGACAGTTCTAATTCCTTGAACCAAGAGCTCTTCTACAGAAAGAACACAAAGGCACAATACCGTGACTGGAACAAGACACAAATAACCCGGACATAGGAGAACGAACCTTTATGGCGACGTTTCGGTCCAACTTGGATCATTAACTAGTCACACTAACACACGAAGATAAGAGAGCCAGTATATATAAGAGAGGAGGGCAGGGACTGGAAAAAGAGAGGAAGAAGAAAGAAGGAAATAGAGACAGCAATGGTAGAGGTAATGCTGGTAGTGGAAGTCAGAGATCACAGTCATCCTACTGACTGGTTTTCTGCTAAAACTGACTTCCCTACTTCTAACTTTCACAGTCGCCGTCTGGTTGAATTCTCCCTTATACACAACTTTCCTTGTATGAATCTTAGTCCTGGCTTCGTCTCTATAGATGCCTTCCTTTCCTACTACATTGTAAAATGCTCCAAACTTCAGAACACCCATGACTTAACCTGATTCCTTTTTCTTCTTCTCCCTCTTCCTCTTTCTTCTGCCTTGGGCATTTGTTCCTTCACTAATTCCCCCCCCCCTCTGTGTTCTTGCTCCTACCCTCTGTGGGCACCTAGCTTCCTTGCAGTGCTCTTTCTTAGTATTTGACTCCACCTCTACCATTACTACCTCCCTCACTACTACCTTCTACCTATCTTTACCACCATTACTACCACCTCCTGGCCTATATATACTCACTCCTCTCCTTTTCGTTAGTGTGACTGTAAATGGTCTAAGTCGGACCGAAACGTCGTCGTAAGCTCCTCTCTCCTATGTGCGGATTGTTTGTGCAAAGTAGTAGTGTCAGTAGTAGGTAGGGGAAGTAGTGGTAGTGACATAAGAGAAAGTAGAGTGAAGCGAAGCGATAGTAGTAGTAATAGTAGGAGAGTAGTAGTAGAAGCATCCCTTATACACACCTTTCTTAATATGAATCTTAGTCTTGGCTTTGTCTCTGTAGATGCCTTCTTTTCTCCTTACATTCTCAAATATTGCAAACTTCAAAAACACTCGAGACTTGACCTGATCTTTATCGCCTCCTCTCCTTACCTCTTCTCCCTTTCTATATTTTCTTAGTCTTCATTTCTTCTGCTTAGGTGTGTTCTGTCCTTTAGTTTTCCCACTGTGTTTGTCCTACCCTCGTGGGTCATTAGCTCTCCTGCAGTGTTCCTTGCCCTTTGACTTACTCCACTACTACTATTGCTACTACTACTATCGCCTCGCTTCACTCCACTTCCTGCCTTTTGTGCCACTACCACTACTCCCCCTACATACTACTACTACTACTATACTACTACTTCCACTACCAGCATTTCCTCTTCCACTACTATCTCCACTTCCTTCTTTCTTCCTCATCTCTTTGTCCCCTTCCTGCCCTTCTCTCGCATATATACTGGCTCTCTTACCTTCGTGTGTCAGTGAGACTAGTTAATGGTCTGAGCCTGACCGAAACGGGTTATTAGTGTATAGCTCTTCTCCAGCATCAAAGTTTCCTCTTAATGATCCTTCGGAGTTAGTAATCTAAAGAAAATCTTATTTTTCCAATTATGTTCTCCTCTGGTGGCCTGGTGGTTAACGCTCTGGCTTCACACGGTGAGGGCCTGGGTTCGATTCCCAGCCAGAGTAGAAACATTGGACGTGTTTCTTTCCACCTGTTGTCTATGTTCCCCATCAGTAAAATGGGTACCTGGGTGTTAGTCGACTGGTGTGGGTCGCATCCTGGGACACTGACCTAAGGAGGCCTGGTCACAGACCGGGCCGCGGGGGCGTTGACCCCCGGAACTCTCTCCAGATAAACTCCAGATAACTTACACCACAATAACAACAATGTGAAATAGGTTGAGCTTCCATGAATCAAAATTTATTATTTACAGTTTCACCAGGTGATGTATAATCACTCATTATTGATCATTTTCCCACGAGTATCATCATGATCATTATCTTTATCATCATCGTCATCATCATCATCATCATCATCATCATCATCATCATCATCATCATCATCATCATCATCATCATCATCATCATCATCATCATCATCATCATCATCATCATCATCATCATCATCATCATCATCATCATCATCATCATCATCATCATCATCTCCCCCTGTCACGTTGACGGCCTTCCTTCCTCCCTTTACCTTGCAGACTCAGTACTCCCGTCACCCACAAGTCTCCGAGAAATCGTATATAACAACAACAAACCTTCACCACAACGACTCACACACAAGGGTAGTTTTCCTTGAGTCAAACTTGGTTATAATTAAAATATCTATATTCATTTTCTTGGTTGGACGTGTCTCCCATGCACTGTCGTGTCCCATGTAGCCTAGTCTTCCATGCATTACAGTGTCCCGTGTAGCCTAGTCTTCCATGCACTGTCGTGTCCCATGTAGCCTAGTCTTCCATGCATTACAGTGTCCCGTGTAGCCTAGTCTTCCATGCACTGTCGTGTCCCATGTAGCCTAGTCTTCCATGCACTGTCGTGTCCCGTGTAGTCTAGTCTTCCATGCACTGTCGTGTCCCGTGTAGCCTAGTCTTCCATGCACTGTCGTGTCCCATGTAGCTAGTCTTCCATGCACTGTCGTGTCCCGTGTAGCCTAGTCTTCCATGCACTGTCGTGTCCCATGTAGCCTAGTCTTCCATGCACTGTCGTGTCCCATGTAGCCTAGTCTTCCATGCACTGTCGTGTCCCGTGTAGCCTAGTCTTCCATGCACTGTCGTGTCCCATGTAGCCTAGTCTTCCATGCACTGTCGTGTCCCATGTAGCCTAGTCTTCCATGCACTGTCGTGTCCCATGTAGCCTAGTCTTCCATGCACTGCCGTGTCCTGTGTAGCCTAGTCTTCCATGCACTGTCGTGTCCCATGTAGCCTAGTCTTCCATGCACTGCCGTGTCCTGTGTAGCCTAGTCTTCCATGCACTGTCGTGTCCCGTGTAGCCTAGTCTTCCATGCACTGCCGTGTCCTGTGTAGCCTAGTCTTCCATGCACTGCCATGTCCCGTATAGCACTGTCGTGTCCCGTGTAGCCTAGTCTTCCATGCACTGTCGTGTCCCATGTAGCCTAGTCTTCCATGCACTGTCGTGTCCCATGTAGCCTAGTCTTCCATGCACTGTCGTGTCCCATGTAGCCTAGTCTTCCATGCACTGTCGTGTCCCATGTAGCCTAGTCTTCCATGCATTACAGTGTCCCGTGTAGCCTAGTCTTCCATGCACTGTCGTGTCCCATGTAGCCTAGTCTTCCATGCACTGTCGTGTCCCGTGTAGTCTAGTCTTCCATGCACTGTCGTGTCCCGTGTAGCCTAGTCTTCCATGCACTGTCGTGTCCCATGTAGCTAGTCTTCCATGCACTGTCGTGTCCCGTGTAGCCTAGTCTTCCATGCACTGTCGTGTCCCATGTAGCCTAGTCTTCCATGCACTGTCGTGTCCCATGTAGCCTAGTCTTCCATGCACTGTCGTGTCCCGTGTAGCCTAGTCTTCCATGCACTGTCGTGTCCCATGTAGCCTAGTCTTCCATGCACTGTCGTGTCCCATGTAGCCTAGTCTTCCATGCACTGTCGTGTCCCATGTAGCCTAGTCTTCCATGCACTGCCGTGTCCTGTGTAGCCTAGTCTTCCATGCACTGTCGTGTCCCATGTAGCCTAGTCTTCCATGCACTGCCGTGTCCTCTGTAGCCTAGTCTTCCATGCACTGTCGTGTCCCGTGTAGCCTAGTCTTCCATGCACTGCCGTGTCCTGTGTAGCCTAGTCTTCCATGCACTGCCATGTCCCGTATAGCACTGTCGTGTCCCGTGTAGCCTAGTCTTCCATGCACTGTCGTGTCCCATGTAGCCTAGTTTTCCATGCACTGTCGTGTCCCATGTAGCCTAGTCTTCCATGCACTGTCGTGTCCCATGTAGCCTAATCTTCCATGCACTGCCGTGTCCCGTGTCGCCTAGTCTTCCATGCACTGTCGTGTCCCATGTAGCCTAGTCTTCCATGCACTGTCGTGTCCCGTGTAGCCTAGTCTTCCATGCACTGTCGTGTCCCATGTAGCCTAGTCTTCCATGCACTGTCGTGTCCCGTGTAGCTTAGTCTTCCATGCACTGCCGTGTCCTGTGTAGCCTAGTCTTCCATGCACTGTCGTGTCCCATGTAGCCTAGTCTTCCATGCACTGTCGTGTCCCATGTAGCGTAGTCTTCCATGCACTGTCGTGTCCCGTATAGCATAGTCTTCCATGCACTGTCGTGTTCCGTGTAGCCTAGACTTCCATGCACTGCCTTGTCCCGTGTAGCCTAGTCTTACAGGCACTGCTGTGTTCCGTGTAGACTAGTCTTCCAGGCACTGCCGTGTCCCGTGTAGCCTAGTATTACAGGCACTGCTGTGTTCCGTGTAGACTAGTCTTCCAGGCACTGCTGTGTTCCGTGTAGACTAGGCTTCCAGGCACTGCTGTGTTCCGTGTAGGCTAGTCTTCCATGCACTGCCGTGTCCCATGTAGCCTAGTCTTACAGGCACTGCCGTGTTCCGTGTAGACTAGTCTTCCATGCACTGCCGTGTCCAGGCACTGCTGTGTTCCGTGTAGCTTAGCGCAAGTTAAGCGACACAAAACCTGTGTTGACCCTCACCAACCTCAAGGCAAGATAAACTGCCTCTCCTTCCCCATTCTTTTCCCGTGAGTATATTTTGCAGTGTCTTGAGTGTGTTAGGTAGAGCCTGCCAGGATGTGTT